AACGTAAATACAAAACATTTATTCAAGTCTTGATTATTCGAATTTTCCAAAAATGAAATCAAGACGTACGTATATAGCAGCCTGAGATTTACTTTTTTTTCTACGAAACGTATCCCGAATACCACGTAGTTGTACATTTTTAAAATGTCAATTTAATTTATAGCCATGGCGCATCGTTTCGCATCCGGTCGGAACAAAAGACCTAAATCTAAAGAACAGCGTTAATTTCCGAACCAGAGGACTCTTGGTCATCTTGGTTGTTGGTAGCTATAGGTACGCAGAGATACGTATACCGTGCACCGACGAAATTACGAAACTGGACGATTAGTTGACAATCGTAAACGATCATCATCCACGTGTGTTTTTTTTCAAACGTCACATGATTCTACGCAGTATCGCGATAACATCGTCGTACACGCAATAGCGAGAGAACACTGGAAAACATTTTTCGCTATACATTTATTCAACGTCTTACGATACAATAACATTTTCAATACCTACGAGCGCTAACGTTACGCGAAGATTTAATAATTAATAATTTTGTCGATAAAGACGCACTGTATATAGCAGCGATACAATTTTACCGATATTTCATCAACGAGATTAGGTATTGCGCTACGCTGAACGTGTGACACGGTGAAACGTAAATTTACAAAATGGGTGCAATTTATAAAAAGAAAGAAGAAAACGAAGAAGTAAAACAAGCAGATGTTATTTTTAAATTGGGTTTAATCGGTTTTCGCTCTTCTACGTGTCGTTTAGATTTTTATAACGAATAACGAATACGACAATCTTACGGGATGTGTGGATGCCAGAGTGAGACGTTGGAATAAGTCGAAGCTATTCCACTATAATATAAATATAAACGTGGTGAACGGAACAGCCAACTCGTGGTAATTCGAACGCAACGCCAATAGTTGTTGCTATTATTGCTGAACTGGCGGAGCCATTGGAAGACTCGAAGCGTTTACGTTCGACATGGCTTTGCTAGGTCCCAACAAAACTTGTTTCTGTTGCGTGCGTTGTGCCTCTTCCATTTGTACTCGTTCTATCTCGAACAATATGGGTGCGAATAAAATAGCGGACGAACTGAA